TAGCCTGCCGTGTTGTTATACGTCCACTAGATGGCGGCAACGTCAAATCATTTAAAATCCTTTAAACACCGACTTCAACTATAGTTTGAAAAGATGTTATACTAGACTGTTCAATTAATACAAATCTGCATTTATTATTTATACTGTGAACATTTGCATATTACATCCTCTTTTTAAAGCATTGAACAGATCTTTTCATTTCAAAAACAGGTATATTTTCATAGGAACGTTCCATGTTATATTTTAGACTCTTAACCTGCAGTAACAGTTATTTTCTCCTCCTATGCTTATTGTGAACAACCACTCCTTGTATGTAAAAACCTCGTTGGAAATAAACCAGATCCTGAAGATATTTTTAACCATGCTATTAAAGTTGCATTTGGACCCAAGAAAACATTCAGTACAGGAAGTTGGCGTCGCACTGGTTCCTAAACTAAAAGCCTGAAGAGTTTCTTCTATTGGCTTATTGTAGACAATCAGCTCTGTGGCAAACAAGCGTTTAGGATATTACACGTTTTGTTCAGCAAGATAATCTTCACTAATTAATGTCACTTTTAGGATTTTTGAAGCGTGAATGTAATCTTATGAATGCAGAAGTAAAAAGCTAAAGTTATGCTATAAAGGAACCGCACCACGGTCACATTAGTACAAACAACAAGGCTTGTTGACGTGATGACGTTTAGTCATCTCATTTAGCCACTTGTTAGCCAACACCTTTTTTAAGACACTTAAAAGCTTCAAAATTCACAAGTGGTTTATTCACGGACTTATTTGATATTTAACAACAAAACTTTAGAATCTCTCAAGCTTGCGTTCATCAAACTATTTCAGGCATCTAAACAAAAAGTAAAAAAATACTCATTCATGCATTTTAGGACTCATTCCTGCAGCCCTCTGCTGTGGAACAGGAGGTTTTAAGACCCATTCATACCAGCCTTGACGAGTCTGACGGCACAGTCTCCGGGGCTGACTCGGTTCAGGTCTCCCTCAGGTCCGATGCACAGAGTTGCAGCCACGGCCTTCCCGGTGCTCTTCAGAACCTGGACGGCCCACTCGGCCTCTTCCACGTGCTCGAAGTACTGCAAGCAATCAAGCATTAACAACATCGACTTATTATTCACATTTTTAATTCAGAAGTTTAAAATAGCCACTATAGGTGCTAAAGATAAATTAATATACCAAAAAGAGAGCTTTAACATTTTTCTTCTCTGCAACAGCTGCATGTGTAAACGTCCTGCCAACAAGTTCTCCACATCAACTCAAAGGGATTTCATCTCATGTTGCATCAGCAGCTTCTTTCTGCCGCCACAAAAGTGGGCAAAGAAATGCAGCTCGTTAATGCAGGTTTAAATAGATGCACCGTAACAAGGATCAGGGGCTGTCAGTCAGCAGTGAGCAGCAACATGTTGCCGTTAGTTGGCATTGAGGCAGTGAATGAATGCAGCTATTGGAGAACACCGACGTGAAGATTTAAATATACTGTGGAGCAACGATGGCTGATTGATGGGTTATTGTAGCTGCCAGTGGGGTTTGATGTCATTACAAACAGGTGTCACTTTTCAGAGACTGCGGATTTTAAGAAGTACAAATGGCAGTATTCTCTACAAGGGAGTTATGTTTCATCATGCGGCTCTGGACTTTTTCAACAGCAATATAAACCTGATGATGAGGCAGAGATGATCTAATGAAACCATTACCGTTGCATTATGGGAAGTGAAGGGTCCAGTGTTTTGACCTTTACTAAAAAGAAAAGATTAAAATCAGGAGATCCTCCCCAGCTTTATGAGAGCATTACTAAAGTTATTTTTTTCCAGACATTTGCTCTCATTTCTAACTCACCGACGGTGCTCACCACATACCTCTGCAATCAAGAAGTCCACGTTTTTCTTGACAAAGACATCGGTCTGTTTCTTAAAGATGGCCTTGACATCAGTCTCGCTCTTGCAGCTGAGGTAAGCGGGGGTCTGAGAGACTCCTCCTGCCACCAGAGCATCACCTTCATCAGCCACCTCCCTGGCCAGGTCACAAGCTGCCTCGTTGATTTGCTGCCCCTGCAGATGCAAATAAAAACACATAATAAAAATACATCTCCTCAGGTCAAGAGAGCACAAAGTTCTTGTTTCTGTTGTTTGGTTTGATGCCAGCTCTGCTGCCGAGCTGCCACCTCCTCCTCGGGACTCGAGGAGAGTCTTGGGAGCAGCTGCAGTCACACAGATCACAGCTCTACTCACAGTGAAGCGCTGAGTGTGGCCCCTGTTCTCCAGTTTATCGTCGCTTGCGTAGAAAGTGAACGTCTGCATGACATTGGAGCCTGCTCTCAGGAACTCCCTGTGCAGCTGCCGCACTGAAAAACCAGCAGGGCTTCATTGAGCATGGGCAGCATTGATGTACAGGTTAGGACAATTAGTGAAAAATAAACAGTACCTG